TATGATATGCATATATTTATGTAATAATACATATGTGATATATTAACATACAGGTTGATACACATGCATTTACATCCTGGCTTCATATTATAGGATCCAGGCAGGCTTGGATCTTTTCCACAGAAACATCACCAAATCATGGAGAAATCCAATGAACATAGCATTGCACTGCACCACTGAGATGACCACTGCTTTGTTTTGCAAATTGAACGGAGCTTACTATACTCTTAGTGGAAGATAGTTTAATTACTGTTCAGAACACTTTCCCTTCCACCATGGTTTACATCGTGGGACATGTTTCGACCTTAAGTTACGTCACGTTAAAGCAAAGTGTGCCATGTTCAAAACAGAACCTTGACCCAGAGGAATTTATTCAATAAACAAAGCACTCTCACAGTGCCAGTTAGATTCAAACATATTCAAACTAGTTGATGGTTCACATGCCTGAACAACAATAACCCAACAAAACTCAGGCTCCGCACTGAGGAAGATCAAGGCAATAACGGTAGATTGGTAACTGCACTCTCACAGTGCATTTGTTTTAAAACATTTGTTTTTTTGACTGCAAACATAACTTGAGTCCTTCAAGGTAGCAATGCGTTGTTACAAACAGTGTCACTCCTTACATTCCCAGAGAAAACGCTACAAAAGGAGCTCTCACAGTGCACTGGATTTGGAATGGCTGAATCTCCAAATACCACATCCTAGATGTTGCTTTCAATCTTTGTGCATACCCCAAACCAAACGTTTAATAGCCTTGAACGTTTCCAAAAATGGCATTTAACTGGCCGCCCTGCCCCCCCCCCTATTCTCTCTTTCCCATTTCACCCATTCAGGCTCCACACGCAACAGGACGCTGGGCAAAGGCAGAAAACCTTTACAATTTATAGGGTCAAAACTTTACCTACAGCACTCTCACAGTGCAACAGGTGCAACAGTTGGAAACCTTGAGCCATGATCTTCACGTGGAACATGTTATTGTTTCTTGTGAAAATTGCAAACGGGTTGGACAACAAAAGCAACCAAAAACAATCTTCAGAGTTTGGTTTGACGCTGCCACTCTCACTGCGCACATAGTTTCGGACATACTCTCAGTAAATTTTTCATCGCGTTTGACTTTTTCGGACATGTTCAAAAGAACGGCCCAATAAATCAAAACTATGCAACACAATTTCCAAAAAACTAATTGTTTGATATCCAACTTTTGTGTGCCACAATTTTCCCAAAAAAAACTTGATGTTTGCTCATTTTTTTGGTACAAAATATTTGTAATATGTTTTTTGAAGTGTTCAGTTCAGGGACCTTTTATAAAAGGAAAGGGCTTTTTTACAATAACATAAGTTTATCTGCTGATCTACATCTTCACACCCTCACACCTGCAGATCTACATCTTCACACCCTCACATCTGCAGATCTACATCTTCACACCCTCACACCTGCTGATCTACATCTTCACACCTTCACACCTGCAGATCTACATCTTCACACCCTCGCACCTGCTGATCTACATCTTCACACCTTCACACCTGCAGATCTACATCTTCACACCCTCACACCTGCTGATCTACATCTTCACACCTTCACACCTGCAGATCTACATCTTCACACCCTCACACCTGCAGATCTACATCTTCACACCCTCACACCTGCAGATCTACATCTTCACACCTTCACATCTGCAGATCTCTTCTCGCTCTTCTTTCTATCTCTCTCTTAAGGCGGGGGCGGTGCCGCCGGAGCGCCACGAAACGCAACCGTTTCGCACGAAATGGACGTTGGGCGTCAAAAACTGAGGTAAAATTAATTGCGATTTAACTTAGTCCATCGCAACCCTTTCGCACGAAATGGACGTTGGACGTCAAAAACTGAGGAAAAATTGCGATTTAACTTAGTCCATTGCAACCCTTTCGCACGAAATGGACGTTGGACGTCAAAAACTGAGGAAAAATTGCGATTTAACTTGTCCCCTCGCAACCCTTTCGCACGAAATGGACGTTGGACGTCAAAAACTGAGGTAAAATTGCGATTTAACTTGTCCCCTCGCGGACGTCAAAAACTGAGAAAAAATTGCGATTGAGGTGTCACGGGCAACCGTTTCGCACGAAATGGACGTTGGACGTCAAAAACTGAGGAAAAATTGCGATTTTACTTTGTCCATCGCGACCCTTTCGCGCGAAATGGACGTTGAACGTCAAAAACTGAGGAAAAATTGCGATTTCACGGGTCCGGTCTCTGTGTGTAAAAGCTTCTGTGTGTAAAAGCTTCTGTATTTAAAAGCCTCTGTGTGTAAAAGCTTCTGTATGTAAAAGCGTCTGTGTGTAAAAGCGTCTGTGTGTAAAAGCGTCTGTGTGCAAAGTTGTCTGCTTGTAAAAGCCTCTGTGTGTAAAAGCTTTTGTGTGCAAAAGCATCTGCGTGTAAAAGCGTCTGTGTGTAAAAGTGTTTGTGTGTGAAAGGAGTCTGTGTGTAAAAGCGTCTGTGTGTAAAAGGGTCTGTGTGCAGAAGCGTCTGTGTGTAAAAGCCTCTGTGTGTAAAAGCTTCTGTGTGTGTGTAAACGCTTCTCTGTGTGAAAGTGACTGTGTGTAAAAGCTTCTGTGTTTAAAAGCTTCTGTGTGTAAAAGTGACTGTGTGTAACATGGTCTGTGTGTAAAAGTGTCTGTGTGTAAAAGCGTTTGTGTGTAAAATGGTCTGTGTGTAAAGGTGTCTGTGTGTAAAAGCTTTTGTGTGTAAAAGCTTCTGTGTTTAAAAGCTTCTGTGTGTAAAAGCGTCTGTGTGTAAAATGGTCTGTGTGTAAAAGTGTCTGTGTGTAAAATGGTCTGTGTGTAAATGTGTCTGTGTGTAAAAGCGTCTGTGTGTAAAGGGGTCTGTGTGTAAAAGCGTCTGTGTGCAAAAGCGTCTGTGTGTAAAAGTGTTTGTGTGCAAAAGCATCTGCGTGTAAAAGTGTCTGTGCGTAAAAGCGTCTGTGTGCAAAAGCGTCTGTGTGTAAAATTCGCCTTTTTTGTCCGGTTTCTCTGCTGATGTCACGAACAAGGGGAAGGTGTCGCCAGTGGCAGAGGCTCATGCCTGTGCGATGAAGTTACGCGGCCTTTTCCCCACCGCTAGGTCCAACTTTGGTGTTTTAACGGAACATTTTACCAGATCCAAGCTCATCTCTTGCTATTTCCGACAGAGCACGACGGAGTCACTTTCAAGGGCGTATCTCCACCGACGCGCAGCGCGTTGATGGAACGGTTGCATTGAAAATAGAGTTCTGGTTTCTGTTGAGGTGGCATGTGACTGCACGGATTGATTGTCTGTACGATCGCGCTTACGTCTGTACGATCGCGCTTCGCGGCTCTTGCTTCAAAAAAACAGAGTGTTCTGGCGCATCTCTATGTGAGGTGCATTGTCGTCTATCAAAATTTCTTCTAGATGAATGCATGTGTTTGAGACGGGGCATGCGGCACTGAGGATATCACGGCGTGACGCTGCATCTTGCATGACCCGTCTCAGTGAGGCGCAGCTCCCATTCAGGTTCCAAACTTGTGCTGTGTTTTGCAGTTGTGATGTCAAGACTTGTGCTGTGTTGGCATTCTATTGATTGTGCCGTTCACTACAGCACTACACCAAGGCTGTGACCTACGAGTGTTGCTCGATGACATTTATTTCGTCTACAACTCAAACTTTTCTGTTTTTGACATCAAGCACCTGATGGCATCGAGCTCTGTTGCAAGCGTCTGCGGACATTTCACATTACATTCAGGTTTTTTGATGGATGTTTTTTGGTCTTGGAGTAAATCAAATTACTGGAATCTGTCCAGCGCTGTGCTATGCACTAAGGTTGGCACTTCTGAGCCACGACGTTTCACTGCGATTTCAAAACATCATTTCGTGTTGGTATGTGTTGTACGAGCGTCGGCCTGTAAAAGCGCCTGTGTGTAACGGGTTTTGTCTGTAAGAGCGTCTGTGTGTACAAGAGTCTGTCAGTAAAAGCTTCTGTGTGGAAAAGCGTCTTGGTGTAAAAGCTTCTGCGTGTAAATGTGTCTGTAGGGTATGTGTGTAAAAATGTCTGTCTGTAAAAGTGTCTGTGTGTAAAAGCTTCTGTGTGTAAAAGCCTCTATGTGTAAAAGCGTCTGTGTGTAAAACAATATGTGTGTAAAAGGGTCTGTGTGTAAAAGTGTCCGTCTGTAAAAGCGTCTGTGTGTAAAAGTTTTTGTGCGTGTAAAAGCGTCTCTGTGTGAAAGCGTCTTTGTGACAGTGTAAAAGTGTCTGTGTGTAAAAGCGTCTCTGTGTAAAAGCGTTTCTGTATAAAAGCGTCTCTGTATAAAAGCGTCGCGTTTCTTCACATCCACGGAATGATGGTGCCGAGCTTTTTCCGCAATGTGTGTAGGAATTGCTATAGTAAAATGAGATAACACATGTCGTTCGCAGCATCATGGTACCGAGCCTCGTGTGCATTTTTGTTGCTCACATTATATTTCTCCATGTTTTCTTTCTACCCCCCTTTCCTTCTCTCTCTCTCTCTCTCTCTCTCTCTCATCCTCAGAGCTGCTTGAAAAACATCTTTTTCGCTCTCGGGCCAACCGTCGTCTAGTTTTTAGTTCTGTATCCGCGCCTCCTCCTCCTCCTTTCTCTCTCTCTCTCTCACTCACTCACTCACTCACTCACCCACTCACTCACTCACTCACTCACATTCTCATTCACTCACCTGTGCATGCACATACATACACACACACAAAAAAAAAACTCACCCACCATCACCCCTCCATCACTCTGATACTTCCTCTTCCCTTCTTGCTTTTCTATGCTCAGTCTAAGTCTAGAGAAGTTGGTAACATGTGGGGTTATCTGGCCCTATAATTTTTGAAGACGTCAGCAACATGGGGCCGGCTTTGGCGTTGCCAGGTTTGTCTTCCTTTATGCTCAGCGCTGGCCAGAATCTCATGGGATACGAAAGACTTGGATAGAGAAGGAGAAGGGGAAGCGCTGTGCAAGTGCTGTGCAGAACCTTGCAAACCACCAAGGACTGGGGGCTGTAAGCAAATTCTTCCTCGGTTCCATTGCCGAAGACGCAGAGAAAGGTGTACACTCACTACTTCTATTTCTTTTCCGTGAATTCGCAAGCTATAAAAATCTATATAGTATATTACAATATACAGGTGCCTGTTGGATCCTGTTGGATCATGTTGGCGTGCTCGCTTGTTTTTTCAAGAACGTTTCTGATATTTGGCATCAATGTGCTCAGTGAGCCCAGACTGTGCTGCAGATTTCAATGAATCAGAAGCGGCCACCTCCAGCATCGAGGAGTGTTGCGAAAGTGAAATGGCGAGGGTCAAGAGTCGAGACATGTCGAGACCATGCATATGTAGCAGAGGTCTTGAGGCATGATATGACATGACACGATTCATGTCAGAATTGTGGGAATTGTAGCTGTTCAGGACTTTGCAGAAATGCGTCTGTTGGGTGAGGGTGCCTTTGGGAAGGTCACGGCTGAGCATGTCTCAAAATTTGAGCTGAGCAACAAAAAGCATTTGCCTATTTCGTTGCCTCGGCCCTGACATATTCGCGAGCCTTACTTCCATCCAGTGTGCAGGTTGTCCTGGTGAAACATAAAAACGGGGATTTGTATGCCCCGCGCTCAGGACCTGAGTGTGTGAAATTATGAAAATCCTCCGAAAGGAAGGAATTCTGGGTAAAGATGGTAAGACTGTGTTGTCATTTCGCAACTTTGTAATTCCTGTCATTCACCATTTTCTTGCTTTGCTTTGCTTTCCGAGCGCAACTTCAAAGTAAAGACTCCAGCCACATCACATCTGGTCATGCTTGGTCAGCTACAGCAGGAAGGGCGAACCCAAAAAACTAGATATGTTATACTATGACTTAACCAAATATTGAATGTTTGACATTACGAAGCAGGGACTTCTTGATCCTTGAGCCTTGCCGGTGCACCCATGATATGGTATTCGCAAAGTCTGACCAGGTTGCTTGCGATCTTTGCGTTTGTGCGTGTGAACCATCTCAATAGATGTAAAACTTGTACCTCGATTTTTGTTTTCAACCTTAACAAACTATGATGCAGGGGGACTGGAACCGATTTGCCCCTCCAGTCCGACGAAGCTATGGCATTTGGGTGGATGAGTGGTCTGATCAACCAAAGAACCGCCAAATCGAATTTTCATGTCATTCCAGTTTTCAATCTTGGGGCTCTTGTACGGCTGGCGCAACTCAAGACCGTGGTCAATTTGATGTCTATGGAGATGACTACTTTGCCAACCGTCAGCGACAATCCAGTCCTTTCACTTTCCTCCTGTCTTATTTAACCACTATACATTCCCAATCACGATTCGATAAGACAAGTCTGAGCAAGTGTGTGACTCATGTCGGTTTCGACGAGATGACATGAGCCCTTCAGGGAATACCTTTGTAGGAACTGGGAACCTCGATCGGGCTCTGAATTTACCATTTTCAACCTGGTAATTATTAATTCGTCTAAGTAAAGTGGAACAGATGGCCTTTTTTCATCTTCTCACCTGTCGGTCGGTGTTGAAACTGCTGGCCACTGGACCTGGCTTCAACCTTTTTTCGAATGCTTCTGAAGCTGTGGATGGATTTGGAAATTACTGGGCTGGACTCTTTTTCCAGCTTTGCTCGAGAGACAGACCGCTGTCACTTGCAACATGTCGACAGCGACTTTCAGGCAGGTACATGCCTTTAGGTGTGGTGACCCCTTTCTTTTGATGGTCGTTGGTGAGGTTCAAGTGTGCATTATAATGTTTATAGGGGTGATTTGAACACAGAGGCCCTGAGCCTCATCGTGAGTCTTGCACTGGATTGTGGATGCATTCAATTTGTTGAAACTGTTGACTTATTGTTCGTGCTATCGCTCTCTGTCCAGCTGCCACGTTCCCTTTTTCGTGGAAGCCACGAACATGGACTTCATCGGCACCTACGATGGATCCTCGCGCTCAATCAATGTTGAGCCCAATGGCAAGCGCAGGTATTCCTCTTCCTGGCAGGGGAGGGTTTTTCAGCAGCTGTGATCCCAATGTCCATCAACAAGTACAACATTCTCAGCACCGGGCTCAGTCTCAAGCTCAGATTAACTTGTTACAACAACAGAACGACCTGCTGAGTCAGCAGTTGGCTCATCAAGTCACATCCCAGGTGCCGTCCACACATCAGCTACCAACTGCATCCTTCCAACCTGCTTCGTCCAATCAATCCATGCCACCTCCTCAACCTTCGTCCAATGTGGAACCGACATCAACCTCTACACCCACGGCGTCTACATTTGACTCTTCAGAGATGGAGGGCCGGTATGGTCTAGTGGATAAGACGCATCCCTCATGCGTCAGACCCGGGTTCAATACCCGGGTGCAACACTAGGCGGACAGGCGGGCCACTACCCCACCCCTGCAGTTAAGGGGATGAGCTAGGGTGTCGTCCGGAAAACACTCTCACTCTTCAGAGATGGAAGTACGATTACAAGAGAGCTTCAAGAAGGATATCAAGGATGCTGTGAGGCGCAGTCGTCCACTTCATCGTCCAAAGCCAAAGACCTCTCGTCACCTACCATTCCCACACCTCAATCCATTTCTTTCAACCACAGGACTCCAATCCAGGTCCATCCCCTGCAGTCCCTGCTACCTCGGTCTTCGTCTTCGATCTCGTTCTCGCGCTCCACGTCGAGATGATTCCCGTCAGCGCATCCGCCTTCATGCAGCTCCTGCAACTTCCAAGCCAATCACAGAATTATCTCATCCCACTTCTCACCACCGCACTTCCCGTCGATCCAAGCATCATTCAACCTTCAAGAAACCTTCATCCACTAAGGAATCAATTCAACTTGAAGAAGGTGATAAACTTGTGGATCAACCACTCGAATGACACTTGGACCGCTCAAGTGAAATATGCCCTTGAAGATCCAAACCGCACAAAAGCCGCAAATGAGATCGCCGAAGAAGATCGACCACGGACCATCAAGACGGTGAATTCCCAACTTCACCAGTTAACAGCTGAACAAGAGATCAAGCAGATTGCCCCAGATATTCCTGACAACAGATGCGCTCTCATGGTTCAGATTTTGGCTGGAGCAGGATTACTCAACAAGGTTGGTTTTTCCATTGCTCGCAGGATGGTCCTGCCGAACACCGATAAGTATGCCTTGGTGATCCCTATGCCTGAAGTTCCTCCATTCCAACCAAAGCCACCGTTTGGATGGAAAACTGCATATACTTGGGCTCTTGACCACGGCACTGGCACGGAAACAGCAAAGGCCATCCTGTTGCGGCCGGCAGATTGGACATTCGGAGCACCCTCAGTAAATGCGACATTCCCACATTTGGGGCATTCTTTTTAGGCACGCAATTAGGTCGTGTTGATCAATGCATCCCGGACTACGCCGTGGTTGAGCTCCTGGACAGAGCTTCAACGAAAGGAAAAGGCCAATTACCGATTCTCTTTGGCCTCATTTACCGGGAGTGCATATCCACATCTTCATCTCAGTGCTGGAGGAAATGATCGGCTCAGTTGAAGGTTTCGGCAAAGGGTGTGGTGACCACGTCAGAGAAATATGCCATCATTCGCAGCGAACACACCACTGTCAGCAGCATCGCTATCACCTGGGATAGCTTGCCTTATCCCCTTCCATCGGAACGGAAAACATCAGAGAAGCCTCCATCCAAAGAAGAACCCCATCCTCCAGAGGAACTCCCTGATTTTCAAGAAGGAAGAACCTGACTATAGCGCGTGAGCCCAGCCTGGTTGCAACCGGTAAACACGGTGATTGCCTTTCTAGGTTTACCCTGGACGATTTTGCTTGGACAGTTTCAGAACTGCATGAACTGCACTGCTGCCTCAATCTGACCTTGCATTTTTTCACGATTGGCCTTGCTTTGGCTTGAATTTCTCCCGTCTATGGGGCTTTTTGCATTCCTTCTGGTTTTCTGGGGTGATCGCTTTGATGCATTTGATGATTTGTTGCAGTTGACTTTTCTTTAGTCATTGCATTGTTTGTCATGTCTTCTCAGTCCCTTTCACATGTGGAGCTTTCTTCAATTTGAGTTTTGATGGGCTCTTGCAACGTAGTCGCTTCTCTGTGGTGTCATGGCAAGCTCTGACCGCTCTCGATCACCAACATCAGCTCGCAATCGACCTGTGCCTTCTGCTCCACGACAAGATCTACCAAGATTTGGACCTATGGGAGCAGCAGTCCGGACCTTACAAAATATGCCCCGTCCTCAGTTTGCCAATCGCTGGCCTACTCTTCATGGGGTAACGGGCCAATTTGGAGCCCCTCCTCCTGCACCACCATCCAGTTGGACAAGATCGCCACATCCATTTCCACCATCTCCAGCACCTACACTTCCACATCCATCCATTCCGGGCTCCCAACAATCCTTCTGCTCACCCACTCAGCCATGCTCGGCCCCTCCAACAACTCCTCCACCGATGGTCCGTCCATCATTTCCACTTCTCCACATACATCGGCTCCACGGGGCTCCATTGATGAGCCACGGGTCTACGGCTTTGACTTGAAGGAGAACTGGCATGAAGATCGTGAACATTATGAGTCAGAAGGTCAACGGCCTCACTTTTCCTCGCACTATTCGGACATCAGCATTTGCTGCAAAGCTTGATGTGGAAGGATGTGATCCTTTGGCCCTTCCCTTGGCTGCCTTGCTATATCAGCAGGCAAGCAACTTCTGGTTGCGGAAGTTAGCCCACGGACGAATGTTGCATCTCATCCCCAGTGGTCTGCTCTCTCGGTCGAGAAATCGAGGAATTGACCTGGACAGAATCTCTCAGATTCGTGCTAGACTGCTAGACAGGATGGGAAACACTTGAACAAAACGGCAAACACCATGTATGCCGCTCGCTTTGATGGTTGCAGAACATATTCAGGGATGGCTCCCAATGAAGGCCACGGATCCAAATTCTCAACATGAAATCACCCAGCTCGATGAAGGTACCCCTGAAGCTTCTACACCTCCTCGTCCTGGTCAAGCCAGCTCTTCAGTCAAGCCAGTTCTTCCAGTCAAGCCACGCCCATCCAGCGCGCACTCTTGGGCTCAGCGGCCCCTGCGTCTCCACCTGCCTTTGATCCAGCGAGCTGGCTTTCAATCCCTCTTCAATCCAATACGTGGCTTCTGGACAATCTTCCTTTGTGATTGAGCGATCGGATACACAATTCCTGATTCAAAGCCCTGTCTATCCCAGATGCACAGAGAGCCGTGTTGCAGACCAACATGAAATGGCTGAAGACTGGCGGAAAAACCAGCGCATCCCTCTAAGCAAGCTCCAGAAGAACTTCAACGATGTCACCCTTACCAAGATCCGCACAACAGCCATCACGATGACTTGTTGACTAGCACCTGCTCTACGACCCAAACTCAAGCACAAAGTCCTTCAATCACATCTTCACCTTTTACAGTCGATGATCTTGGTGCTGTTTATTCTGACCCCATTTACTATGTCCTTTTCGTTGACTCTTTTCCATGGTTTTCGTTTCGCTCAAGTACGGTTGATGGTTTTGATGATCATTCATGGCTTTCTCTCCAACACAAAGTTGAAGGCGATTTTGGCACAGCCTTCCAGCTGTGCCAATCTCTCCAACTTGTGGGGTTCCTCTCTAGAATCTCATGGACTCTTTATGAAGGGTTTCTTCCAGCCCAACGCGGTCTACATTCGTTTCACGCGCATTCTCAACATGCAACCCAAATACTATGTGGGATCGGATCGGCCACTCACAGCACCCCGGATCGCCAGTACAGTCGAACCAGAAAGTATTTTCAACATGACAAACTTGTCCAAGCCGAACTTGCATTACGATTTTGGCGGGACCATCAAAACCTCTTTGCTTGGGCCCCAATTCCCTTTTTTGTTCGCCGAGCTGACTAAAGATGTCTCGAACTTGCCTTGATCCAGGAATTGTGACCTTGGTTGAACTACCCGTTCATGTGTCAATTTGTCCATCCCCGAAAGCGTCTATTGAAGAAACCGGCCATGAATACCAATGCACAATTTGGACTTGCGTCGCTTTGGCGCGGGGCAAACACACAAATTCATTCCCAAAGTGGTTCGAGAAATTCTTGCATCCAATCGGTTCCAATCCAGATTGGAACTTTGGCAGATCATTCACGCATCGGGTTCAAACATAAAGGCCAGATTTGAAATCACCAAGATGCTTCGATCTCACCTGGTCTCACCTTGTGCTATATGCTTCACCGCTTGAGTTCCAACGTCCAGGAACATTACAGAACTCTTTCGCTGCAAGCGATCGATGCCTCCATCAGCTGGTGGAAAGGCAAAGCTGCTCCTCGAGCATCTGCACTTTGTGCGCCTTGGTCCCTGAGCCCTGACCTTGTCAAATCACTGCGCCAATTTCTTCGGGGATGACATCTACAAGTTCTTGCCCATCAAGTTCCTTGCCGCAACCCATCGTTCAAGACTATTTTTGTGAAACATGCATCGGTGATGGACTTCCTTTGCAACCACAAAAATGCCGTCACAGAATGGGCTACGGGCATGACACCAGTGTGCTGTTGCCAGACATGGGCTCCATTTAAGAAAGCTTGTCTAAACCCTGGTTCCAAATAACATTGGATCCTATCCCTCTCCGGCACTCTTCTTGCTGACTTACTACCCCCTGAACAAGCCGTCGTTGCTGAAGGGTCTTTGTCCAACAAGGTGTTCCCGTCCAAGAAGGAGTACACTGTGATGATGATTCGCGCTCTGAACCAGTGGACACGAACCAATGGGCTTCCATCCATCATCAAGCAAGATATTTTGGGTCTCATGACTCATCACACACCTATTTGGAGTCAACACTGCAAGCCTCTCACGAACCACATCACGAAATCGACCATTACAGCCTTGCACACATCCTTTGATGGTGCTGTCTTTCACTGCGAAGACAAGCAAGCTTCGTCCTTGCAGATCTTTTGCCCATGCTTATACTACCAATCGTTGGAAACCACCTTCCTGGATGACAAGGTCTTTGAATGTTTTGAATCTCTTGGGTCTTGAGGCAACGCCCGCAGCCATGGTTAGCAAAATGGTCTCTTCTTTGGAACAGTCCTATGGAAAGACTTACCCCTGGGCTCTGTCGCGAATTGTCCTGAGGTTACGTCCTGGCCAAAAAGAAGAAGAACTACACGGCTGGACGACCGATCATATCCTTTGTCGATTCTCCGTTCTGGCCAGTGCTCAACAGTCTTGCCCGGATAATTTTCCAACGCATTCCAGGTTGGATGCCCTAATCACTTCGTAGTTGGTGATGTCTATGCATTGCTCAAGCTTCTCAAAGAGGCACCGAGGTATGACGACCGCAGAATTTTCAACCAGGATCTGGCAGGATTCTTTATGAGCATCGAACCTGACAGGCTTTTAGGCTCCCGCTTGATTTCCTCAGACCTGCCTCACATGAATGTGAATGGCAATGAAGTTTTCTCACTCTATCCGGGGAAGACCAACAAGCCCGCACCTTCAGGAGGCTCAATGTCACTCGGAAGATTGCAGTTCGCGATGCCTTGACCTTTTCAAGACGGCCCTAAACATGCAAACCTTTGCATTAGGCCCGCGAAGTTTTCGCCAACGCCGGGGCAGTCCCATGGGCAGTCCCTTGCCACCGGCACTATCCGGCACTATGCCTCATGGTAGTGTCTATTGAAGCGAACAAATTTGGTCCATCAATTTCAAGGAGACTCTCGCAATCAGAACCTTTTTGTTCGGCATCTTCGATATGGGACAATCGGATGATTCTTCGTAACAAGCTCATTCAGGACCTGGCTCCGTATGAGATCTTGCTTGATGAAGGCTTGTATGGCAAACCCATCATTCTGGAGACTAGCCTGACCAGGAGTTCTTGGGCCTCATGATTGAGACAAATCCTTTTGAATTAATCTATTGTTGCCCTGCCAATGTTTCGCAGAGTTTGTCCCCATTCTCGGCCTCTCCCCCACAAGTCCTTATCAGTGGATTTCGATTGCGGTGCCACACCGCAGTGAAAAGAGCCTTCCCATTGTACAGAGTTCATCAAGGCCTTCAACAACTAATTCGTATTTACCACTTGGCTGGTTTCGATTTCGAAGAACTCAACAGCATTTCTTCGAAGATTTTGTCATCAGTGACATAAGATCTCTCTTCCCAATTGTTGCTACTGCCTGTTCTTCCGTTATATCTCTTCTTCTTGGTCCCTTTCTTCTCTAGCTCTTTGGCTCAAACTCGTTCTTCCTGCTGCAGCGCCAGATTCACTCCAACTTGGTGAGGGCCATCATGCATCTCAAGTACATCGCTATAGTTTCTGACCTTTCTTTGAACCGGATTTGGATTGGGAATCTACACCTATGTCATCGGGCCCATCACTCCCCCGGCTTCCCCAAACTTCTCAACTGGATCACGTCATTTGCACACCTTTGTGCCAATGCCCAGACCCAATCATCCTCCAACTTTAATGACTCATGGAGGAATCCTTTCTCGCATGGTGATCAATACAGCACCGAATTTTCGTCCAGATCATCCTTCAATTTCTATGCCGGCATTTAATTTCCTGATGAAGTTCGCCCCACCGCAAGACCACCGTCTTCTTCAACTGCGCCTCCTGCCGCCAGAACCCCTGCAGCATCAATTGCAACCGTCCACCCTCCCCGTGCTCAATCTATCACTACAACACCGAATCTAAACCATCCCAAACACAGTTGTATACGCCCACCTGTCCCAGAAACCATTCCACCAGCCCCTGTTCTCGAACCAGATGCTGCCATGGAGCACCAGTGGCTTCATCGGCATCTACAGCTCGTGCGGACCGAGCTCAGGCCCCGTGACCCAGTGAGGCAGGAAACACCTCCGCCATCAATCTCCATGGGCAATCGAGCTTGGACTGACTTGGACGATCATGGTGGAGTACAAGCAGGACTCTCGATCTCGTCCTTCTTGGAAGTCTATTGGCCAACATCTTCGTCGAACTCCTGAGAGCTGCCGTGCACGCTGGATGTTCTTGAAGAACACTCCTTCTAGGGATGACACTGTCCCAAATCCTGAGGACTAATCTCTTGTCCGGATGTCAAAAATTCTTGCGCACTCTTCTCGCTGCTTGTGTTTATCCTTGTCAGCTGTGAATTTGCAATCGGTTCTTTTTTCTCTTTAGCTTTGGCTCTACTTCATCAAAACCATTTCCCACGATGCAGCGCTCTCGCTCTCATGGTTTCACATACCGTGGATCCCGGGATCTATACTATGGCATTCCAGCAGTCGCGCGTTCTACCCCAGTGGTCAGGAGGCGACGACCAGTCTTGGTGCTGATTTCATATCATGACCTTCGGTTTATGACCCAGGAACATGCTGGATCCAGCGATATGATCCATACTCGCTCTGACCTGCTGCCGGCATTGACTGCCACTGACCAAGAAGGACTTTTCAATGGTCGCTCCTTTGCAATTGCCTTGTACCTTGTTTACCAACCTTCTTCAAGATCTTGCTGCTCAAATCTCGGCGACCTGTGACATTCAACTGGACCCTGATGATCTTTGCCTCCGGTATGCCAACTTGATTGGGGAGGTCTTCGAGCTCCATTCGTTGTTTTCCCTCATCGGTGCATTGGGCTCCTATCGACCTGAATGGTGTCGCAGGCAAGATGATGGCCTTAAATTCCTTTCTCTTCGCGGACTTCACCCAGCCCTACATCATGCGACTCACGTGCCATCAGAAAGATCCCAATACAGTCCTTCCGTGAACGTTGAGATCTTGAGACATTATGCTGCAGGTCTAAAAATGTTGTTCAGTGCTGAATTTCCCTGATTGGCCCTTCTGTTCCTTTGTGTTTCTCTTTCGTTTTTGATGGGTTTCTTCCCTCCTTGCTGCTTCTTCTTTGTACTGGTTCAACTTCTTTTCTTCATAGCTTTTTCTTCTCAAAGGGGATAGCTGCCATGCCCGGTACGAAGCGAGACTGCACACCATGGCAAACCTTAGCTGGCCACCATCATTTCGTACGGAGTCAGACAGCACTGACCAACAACCTGTTGATCCACTTGCCTGTGCAGCTGAATCTGCTGCGTACACCACGGTTGAACCTCCTGCTCCCCCGTTTGCTTCTTCGTCGACGAGCACTCAGGCATCCAATCTGGTGGTACTTGGCCCAGGCCTGACCAAACGTCAAGTCCATGGCATCAACTTTGAATTTGGGCGAAAGGCAACAAACAAGAGCTCTATGTGAATGAGTGGCGCCAGAATGGGAAAATGTCATGCAAACCACTTGATTTCTGGCCTCTGACAGGGTCCTGGAGGCAAGGTTGGGTACTTGGCCGCTACTGGAGGAGGGTCTTTCCCTGGGTCTTCCTTGCGTGGGTCTGTCCCCTGGGGCCATTCACTGGGCCTTTCCCTCGACGGGGTGCATCAGTTGACTGGGTCTTTGCCCCTAACTGCGTCGTTCCCTTGATGGGTCGTTCCCGAAACTGTCTTTGGCTTTGGCATCTTTGGCGTTTTCAAATTGGCAGGTTGAGGTGCGCTAGGCGACACTGCACTGCAGATCATGCGGCGTTTTCTTTTCTGAGGCTCGTGGCTCCAATCAGAGTCTCACTTCCCACCCGCTGCTGCCCTTTTTTTGCCCATGGCTACAGCCGGGGTGCCTGATCCCTGCTATATGATTTTGAATCAACAAGATCGCCATCTCCCTGGCTCGTTGTGCCGCACCGGACACGAGGCCTGTGCTCACCAGCGCACTAGGCAGGACAGAGCCCGAAGATTGTCGCGAAGACACAGACTAGCAGCGAGGGCGAGGGTTGCGAGGTCTGGCTCATGAAACGTGATTCATGTACACGGATGCTGCTGGAACGATGCATGGCTGCAACGGGATTGGGGCGGCTTGCCATGTTCGTGTTGGGGCCTATATAGCACGGGTACCAACCCAGTTACTTTGTTAGGGCATTGGCGGCTCGATCGCGGGGAACTGGGAAGTAGGTACGCTGGGTTGCTTGGCTGGGTTAACTGGCACGCATGGGTTGGCGGAAGAAGATTTCTGGCTCATGGACACAGATGCTAGAGGGACGGCGCGCGGTTGCCGCCGAAAACATGTCAAACGAGAACCCTATAGTCCAGCCTCGCTGCTCAAGACCTGTCATAACGGAACCCTGGCGGACATGGCCCCCCAAGCGACCATGTCAGCTTGAAACCCCAGGGAGGCATCCACAAACATGTCAAGGAAGAGCCTTGCCGCCGAAAACATGTCAAAAGGGAACCTTGGCGCCCTGGATAGGGCATAAACGTGTTAATGCAGAACCCTGCTGCTGCAAACATGTCGAGGAAGAGCCTTGCCGCCTCAGACGTGCCAAAAGGGAATTTGGCAGACGTTGGCCCAAAGCGACCATGTCAGTTTGAAACCCCCAGGGACACGGGCAAGCAGCTCGAAGCAGCGCCCTGGAGGATTGCGTAATCATGTCAACGCAGAACCCTGCTGCTGCAAACATGTCAAGGAAGAGCCTTGCTGCTGAAAATATGCCAAAAGGGAACCGTGGCAAGCACAGTCCCCAAAGCGACCATGTTCGTTTGAAACCTCCTTATATAGAACCATGTCTAAACAGAGCCCAGCAGGTGCAAAAAAAAACCAAGCCCATACATATCTACAAATATATATATATATACATATACTTATATATACATATACTTATATATACATATATATATATACATACATGTGCATATTTACATATATATATATACATATAATTACATATATATATATACATATTTTTAAATATACGTATTTATCTATTTAAATATGCATATTTTCATTTTTATATACACATAAACATATATATATATATGTGTGTTTTTCACATACAATCATGTATGTGCATTTGCACATACGCAGTACACACACTGACAAGGCGCAAGAACAATTCAAGGGGTGCAAGTGCACGTCTAGGCGTGTGCGCAGAGGATACCACTGAACTTTCATATTCTGCGTTCGCTACGTTTAAACTCTCGCGTGTTTGCTGGGATTTTTTAAACTAGGATGCGCATCCATATCTTGCACTACTTTGCAATATGTTGGTCCCTTCGGTCCCTTCGGTCCTTTCTTCCTAAGTCATGAACAGCGAGCTCATGGAACCACCCAGGCCATGAAGACAATGGAGAAGGCCAAATTCAAAGCTCAGAAGATAACCAGCAAAGCCCACAGCGAGCAATTCATTCTGATGCTTGGCTTCAAAATGCTTCAGAAGGAGGATGCCCAGAAATTCGTCACTTGCCTTTTTCACATGGATTTAAATTCGGTGCTGAACTTGCTGCCTCATGGTACTCAGGAGAACCACCAGGCCTTGACCGAGTTCCATGGCTTTGTCAGTCAATTTGGGAGCATAGTTAGTGATTTCTTCCAGGCACCCCTTCGTGGTTCAGCTGCACTTTGCTTTTCAATGCTCCTACTTTTGGGTCCAGAGCTTGGCCGGAACCCGCAATCCAATGGCCCAGTCTGTAGTGCTGTTCTACATTCTTGGAATGATAAGTTTCAACACGACACAGGCACTCGTGATGGAATATTGCCCAAATGGGGACCTTCAGGCCATAGACAAGTTGCAGACCTGTGCATGTGTGTGTGTGTGCGTGTGTGTACACCGCATGATGTCAAAGTAACCATCGCTACCAGGGCTGCTTGGTGAAGCATGGAACGCCGGGGCTACTGTTGGAGGAGACCAGTCCATGCCATGACAAACTTGAAAGACTTGTATTGCATGGTGCCGCACTCCATTGCCATCCAAGTTCATCGAAGTTTTTAAGTTTTGTCAGGCTTGTGATTTGATCTTATGGCCAGAACTTCGCACCTCAGTACTTTAGTCTAGCTACAGTAGGCCGCCAGCTTCCCAAACCAACCCGGGCGGAGGCCTATACATCTCCACTACTGGTGGTCTTTTAACTTGTCTTTGGTTTGCGTGGGCATGTTCGGTGTTCAAGAACAGGGTCCAGAGGGTAAGATAAGGGAATGATGAATGGATTCAAATGGTCCACATGTGCAGACAGGCTTTCGATATGCTGGGTCCCTAAATGCCCCAAATATCCAGTAAATCAAGTGCGCCACCAATGTTTGTGATGGTTTGTCAAAGTCAGCGAAGCCGCTCATTCTACCTGACATGGGGTGAGCCAGGTGACTGTTGCAACTGAACCGTTGTCTGTAGCAGGACGCAGCTCGATTTTCTGGAGAAGTTCTGCTTGCGTCAGATACTTTGTATCGCCTGGAATCTTCAAACGCATGAGAAGTTGATTGCCGCCCGCATATGTGTATTTTTTACAGTACAGGTACTGTACAGTTTGTGCAGCATAAGATACGTAAAGACCGTATGGAGATGGGGTTAGATTGATAGGTTGATAGGTAGGTCGTTGGATGGACGGACGGACGGACGGACGGACGGACGGATGGATGGATGGATGGATGGACAGGCAGATGGGCAGCAGATGGAAATATCGATAGATGGATGGATGGATGGATGGATGGATGGACAGATGGATAGAGACAGTCAGTTTGATGAAGATGCGTTTAGATTTTAAGTTCTGCCGCGTTCACCTCGATGTGTTTTGGTTGAAATGCAATGCAGTGTTTTCACAACTGAGCATCGCGACTGCAGTTGGTGTTGATTTTGACCAATTTTGATTCAATGCTAGGTTTCCCTTGGGATTTGGCTGAGGCTTGAACATTTGCACGGTATCAGAGTCATCTTCCGTGATTTGAAGCTCGAGAATGCTCCGGGCCCAGTCTGCTAAACGGTTTGCATTTCCTCAATCGGAGACAGCGGACCAAGTGAGCTACTCTTTGCGTAAAAAACAGGCAAACACATGATCATATGATATCATATGTACACAATTACATCTAAATAGAATGGGCTAGCGCCCAGGTGCCGCCGACCCCCCTAATTGGAGGGGGGTACTGTAGAGAGAGAGAGGGAGACGGACAGCAAGACAGACATATGGCCGTTTGCTTCTCAAGCCTGTGGCCTTGTCGTCGCTTTTGCGTGCGGGCGTGGCGCCTGTTGGGGTACCTTTTGCATCGGAGTTGGGCGGACTTTTGGAGGAGTTGGAAGGTTTGGAGGGTTTAACGCCTATAAGAAGCCATTGCTGCGGCCGTGGGGTGCCCTTGAGCCATTGCTGTGGCCTTGTGGTGGCTTTTGCGTGCGGGAGTGGCGCGTGTTGGGCTTGTTGGGGTACCTTTTCCTGCGGAGCTGGCCGGACTTTTGGAGGGTTTGGAGGGTTTGGAGGGGTTTGGAGCGTTTGAGGCCTGGCAAACGGCAGCCTTGAACGCGTATAAGAAGCCATTGCTGCGGCCGTGGGGTGCCCTTGAGCCATTGCTGTGGCCTTGTGGTGGCTTTTGCGTGCGGCAGTGGCGCGTGTTGGGCTTGTTGGGGTACCTTTTCCCTGCGGAGCTGGCCGGACTTTTGGAGGGTTTGGAGGGTTTTGGAGGGTTTTGGAGCGTTTGAGGCCTGGCAAACGGCAGCCTTGAACGCGTATAAGAAGCCATTGCTGCGGCCGTGGGGTGCTCTTGAGCCATTGCTGTGGCCTTGTGGTGGCTTTTGCGTGCGGGAGTGGCGCGTGTTGGGCTTGTTGGGGTACCTTTTACTTGCGGGAGCTGGCCGGACTTTTGGAGGGTTTGGAGGGTTTTGGAGCGTTTGAGGCCTGGCAAACGGCAGCCTTGAACGCGTATAAGAAGCCATTTTGCTGCGGCCGTGGCCCTGCCTTGAGCCATGCTGTGGCCTTGTGGTGGCTTTTGCGTGCGGCAGTGGCGCGTGTTGGGCTTGTTGGGGTACCTTTTCCGTGCGGAGCTGGCCGGACTTTTGGAGGGTTTGGAGGGTTTGGAGGGTTTTGGAGGGTTTTAGAGCATTTGAGGCCTGGCAAACGGCAGCCTTGAACGCGTATAAGAAGCCATTGGCTGCGGCCGTGGGGTGCCCTTGAGCCATTGCTGTGGCCTTGTGGTGGCTTTTGCGTGCGGCAGTGGCGCGTGTTGGGCTTGTTGGGTGTACCTTTTTCTTGCGAGGGGCGGCCGGACTTTTGGAGGGTTTTGGAGCGTTTGGAGGGTTTGAGGCCTGGCAAACGGCAGCCTTGAACGCCTATAAGGAGCCATTGCTGCGGCCGGAAGGTGCCCTTGAGCCATTGCTGTGGCCTTGTGGTGGCTTTTGCGTGCGGGAGTGGCGCGTGTTGGGCTTGTTGGGGTACCTTTTCCTTGCGGAGCTGGCCGGACTGTTGGAGGGTTGGGAGGGTTTTGGAGGGTTTTGGAGCGTTTGAGGCCTGGCAAACGGCAGCCTTGAACGCGTATAAGAAGCCATTGCTGCGGCCGTGGGGTGCTCTTGAGCCATTGCTGTGGCCTTGTGGTGGCTTTTGCGTGCGGGAGTGGCGCGTGTTGGGCTTGTTGGGGTACCTTTTCCTTGCGGAGCTGGCCGGACTTTTGGAGGGTTTGGAGGGCGGACTTTTGGAGGGTTGGGAGGGTTTTGGAGGGTTTTGGAGGGTTTTGGAGCGTTTGAGGCCTGGCAAACGGCAGCCTTGAACGCGTATAAGAAGCCATTGCTGTGGCCGTGGGGTGCTCTTGAGCCATTGCTGTGGCCTTGTGGTGGCTTTTGTGTGCGGGAGTGGCGCGTGTTGGGCTTGTTGGTACCTTAACGAGAGAGGGCTATGTGCGCGGAAAAGTTCCACACCTGCGGTGGTCCCAGGCGCCGCCCCGGCCTTGGCGAAGGCCGGGGTCGGCGGATATGTGTCTATGATGTCTATGTGTGTATATATATACAATGTTATATACACGTATTTATTTGCATATGTATGTATGTACGTCATGCAAGGTAATGTAGTGTAACGTAACGTAATGTAGTGTAATGCAATGTAATGTAATATATGTAATGTAACGTGATGTAATGCAATGTAATACTAAAAAGCTATAATGCTTAACTTGTTCTTTAGGGCCAGGTACCCCCAGAGGCATTTTTCGTGGGGACAGAGGTGGTGCTCGGGCTGGTGTCTAGAGGGTGGCCGCAAAATGATTAGCTTTCTGGATCAAGGTAGCGGTGTCAAAGCCGGTGCTCCAACGGATGTTTCGTATTTCTTTGAACTCATATTCACTTTTTTTGGGGCCAAAGTACATCCGCAGGGGCATTGTCGGACGGGACATTCAGTGCTGATGTTCGGGCCAGGGTTCTTATATACGGCAGGCAGGGAACATGTCATGAGGTGGAAGAAGCGGTGCTGCAATAGGCTGTGAGCGGGCCGGATTAGTTTTAGAACAGGATCACAACAGCACCGGAACCAGATCAGAACCAGATCGGAACCGGATCGGAATTGGGTCGGAATTGGATCGGAAACGGATCGGAATTGGGTCGGAATTGGATCGGAAACGGATCGGAACCGGATCGGGAACGTGTTGCTCCACAGATGGCCTCCTATAATGCGTATAAGCGCCTATAGGGACTGGAGCGACACCGGGCATAGGCGCTCATAAGCATTTCTAAACATAGAAGGGTCATTTGTGAAGCAACACCCGGTTCCAATCCGGTTCTTATTCCGATCCGGTTCCGGTCCGGTTCAGGTCCGGTTCCGGTCCGGTTCAGCTCCGGATGCCTGACAAGGGGGATGCTGAGCACGACCTACGGGCATCACTGATTGCACCACCCGCAAGTCGCTTGTAGCCGCGAGCAGATCCCACCACAGATTGAGCACCACCTGTTGCACCGCTACATTCATAGGCCTCCCTCCTGCCCAGCAAACAGGGGGGTATAACGCTTCACCAAGTAATGTAATGGAATGTTATGTTTTGTTATGTTATGTTTTATTATGTTTTGTTCTGTTATGTATGTATGTATGTATGTATGGTATGTATGGTATGTATGGTATGTATGGTATGTATGTATGTATGGTATGTATGGTATGTATGTATGTATGGTATGTATGGTATGTATGGTATGTATGGTATGTATGGTATGTATGGTATGTATGTATGTATGTATGTATGTAGGTATGTATGTATGTATGTATGGCTTGTATGTATGTATGTATGTATGTATGTATGTATGTATGTATGTGTATGTATGTATGTATGTATGTATGTATGTATGTATGTATGTATGTATGTATGTATGTATGTATGTATGTATGTATGTATGTATGTATGTATGATGTAATGTATGTAATGTATGTAGTGTATGTAATGTAATGTAACGTAATGTAATGTAAGGTAAGGTAATGTAGTGTAATTTAAGTATGTATGTAATATAAGTATGTATGTAATGCAATGCATGTATGGTATGTATGGTATGGTATGGTATGGTATGGTATGGTATGGTATGGTATGGTATGGTATGGTATGGTATGTATGGTACGTACGTACGTACGTACGTACGCACGCACGCACGCACGCACGCACGCAGGCAGGCAGGCAGGTAGGTAGGTAGGTATGTATGTATGTATGTATGTGTTGCAAACCCAATAAACATTTTTAGTGTGAAGTTTTGCATGGCCCCTGCACAGGATGACACGCACATAGGACAGAAGTGTAACCAACTGACATGCCCCGCAGAGCGCTCTTGAGTGGATCAAAATCGAGTTTGGTAGCGGAGCGCTTCGGTGCTCGCTATCTGCGGAGCCATTGGCCTGCTGCTGCTCGATCGGCTGCTACCTCCAACGAGGTTGCCGTGTGAGCACGGCGGGTCTGGCGCTGCTGTGGCGTTCTACGACCAGGGCAAGGACATCACGACGAAGGAGCACTACAAGCTGCGGAACCAGGCGACGCACTTCCTGGTGGCTGCTGGTGGTGGCTTCATCCTGAACATCACCTACCACCTCCTCTTGGTTTTCGTCTACGGCATCTTCCTGAACGACCTCTACGCCTTCGACCTCAAGCTGCACTTCGTGGACATCCAGCCGTACTACGTGGGCATCCTGGACTTCGTGGACTACAAGATGCAGCAGCCTCCGACCTCGAGCGGAAGCATACCGCTCCAGGAATATCGAAGGGATATTCCACCGGGGTGGATGCCCGGAAACCCGAGCTACCCGTTGAAGGAGTACTTCGAGAAGCTCAGGTTGTGGTACCGAGTATGTGGCTTGGAGGACGAGCTGATCGGCCCCATGATCGCTGGCCGCTTGTATGGCCATGCCTCCAAAGTGGCGATGGCTCTGAGGGTGAGAAGGCCTGATGGCACCTACGACGTGGGCGATGCGGCGCTGGTCAGATTGGCTGTGGACGAGGTGATCGATCCGAACACTGGCCAGGTGATCCAAGCCCACATTCCCAGCGGAGTTCAACACTTGGTTCAAGCTCTTCGCAATGCCTTTGGCCAACAAGACCATGACATGGCCACTCAGGCGCTGGAGAGGTTTTTCTCTCTCACGAGAGGAAAGATGAGCCTTGCCGAGTATGCGGTGGAATTTGATTCGAGGATGGATGAGGCTCACGACAGAGCCGGCCTTGTCATGAACGATGTGGCGAAGTTCTACCTGTTCTTCAAGGGTTCAGGTTTGAGCAACAAGGCCATCGACGACATCAAGCTCCAGGTCCAAGGAGATCACAGTCGCTTTGCAGATGCTCGAGCTTTAGCTTTGAGGTTGTCTCCATCTCGACCTGAAGAACATGGCGGCGACGTCTTCTACGCGGACCAGGACGACTATGACGAGACGGTCAACTATGACGCCTGGTATGACTCCTCCGAGAACTATTGGTACGACGACTACTCCCAGGACTATGGCTATGACGATGAAGGCAGTTGGCACTGGGATGGAGAAGAGCTCTACTATGGCGACATGGATGACTGGTATGATGAAGATCAAGAATGGCAAGAAGACGGCTACCAAACCGCCCATGAAGACTCCCTGGAGACGAACCCTGAGAACGCCGACGAGGTCAAGGAAGAGTACTACAAGGGGAAGAGCAAAGGCAAGGGCAACAACGATGGTTGCTTTCGATGTGGAAGCAAATGGCACATGGCCAGCGACTGTCCGATGAACGACAAGGGCTATGGCAAGTCTGGTGGAAAAGGATCAATGAAAGGCAAGTCAAAAGGAAAGAGCAAAGGTGGATGGCGATGGCGCCCCAACTACAAAGGAAGCTACAAGGGCAAAGGCAAAGGCAAGAAAGGTGGATACAAGGGTTCCAAAGGCTATGGCAAGACCAACTGGTACGTCCATCGACCCCCTCTGGACGCCTACGATGGAATCCCTTCCAATGTGCCGAGGCAAGACAACTCCGAGGAGTTCAACATCCACACACCGCCTGATGCAGAGGACTTCATGAGCATCCCGAGATCTTCAACCAGGACAAGATCTACTTCGGATGGTCATGGACAAGAACATGGAGCTGTCATGCCGGAGAAGCGCATCCACGAGGCCTTCAGCTTTGCCTTCAACAACTACTACCAGGCCACGGACTACTTCATGGTCAGAGGACAGAAACGTCGAGGCCTGATCATTGATCCAGGAGCTGCCAGTGGACTCATCGGATCAGAAACCCTTCGAGATCTGGTGGCAACATGTGTCAAACCCTTCGGCAAGGAGATTTCCATTGAGAAGGATGTGACTTCACCGGTGTCAGGCATTGATGGAAAGTCTGACCAGACTCTTGGACGAGTCACCGTGCCTTTGTTGTCCTCTGGAAAGGCCATCAAGTTCTGCGGTGAAGTGATTGGAGGACAAGGTTCTCTTTGCCCAGCTCTAGTTGGAAATCCTTCCCTGAGAAAGATGAACTGCGTCATCTTCAGCAACTACTTTTCCAACGGTGATGGACTCCTCGCCATGAACCACAAGGAGGAGCCACAGTCATCGAGATTGCTGAGATTGCTGTTGACTGACAGCGGACACTACATCCTTGCCACCGACGGCATTGACGAGACCAAGATTACCAAGGACGTGCAAAAGGAGACCTACACGTTCTCCAGCAAAGTGCTCTCTAGCAGCATCGAGAAATGGCCAAAGTCCGAGATCAATCCCCGGTTGCTTCATGTCTTCGCTGTGACGCAGGCAGGAGGGAACCGGTGTGACTGTGAACAACAACAATATGAATCACGTGGACATCGTGAACAACAAGAATCCTCCTCTACTGACGACAAGGACAATGGCGACAAAGCTGCCAACATCATGGACAAGCCCGACAAGACTGACACTGATGCGACAGTCACCCATGAATCTGATGGCAAGCTCAACTTGGACAAGAACAACCACGATGCTGCCGAAGCTGTTTCACAACCAGGCATTTTGCCTTCCATGGAATCCACAAAGGAGCCCATTGAACACAACGTTTTTTCCAGTGAGCCCAAGCTCTGCGGGCCTACATCTTTTCCTGCGACAACTGAGGAGTTGCCGAAGATTGTCAAGAAGGTGCACTTCGACGATGCGCATCAGCCTGCCTCTTTGGAAGCAGCATCCAACAACGTTGAAGAGCCCTCCAACAAGGATGAGAAAGACTCCCTGGACATCCACTACAAGGAGTCTGACTTTCCCATCTACACTGAGGACATGCTTCCTGATGGAGCAGACCATGTCAAGCTGAAGAAGCGCTACAAGGCGATCAAAGAAGAGTTCTACACTCAGAGTGGTCACCGACCAGTGACACCCTCCAACTTTCGCAGTTGGATGAACAAGTCCAAGGGCAGAAACAAGAGATGGCACTTCTGGGAAATCTTTAGTGGCTCAGGCAGACTCTCCCTGACGCTTTTGCTTTCAGGTCTTGCAGTTGGACCTCCAATCGACATGAGGTATGGCTGGGACGTCAACAACACTTCTCATCAAGCCATGCTTCTGGAAGCCCAACGAGAGTTCAAGCCTGGCACTATCCACTATGCACCTGACTGTGCACCCTGGAGTGTGTCATCAAGTTCCAAGGATCCAGCACTACGACATCAAGATCGTCTTCATGATCTTCCAGCCTTGAAGTTTGTCCAGAACAGCTGTGAAGAACAATCCCGAGAAGGACGCGGCTACACTGTGGAGCAGCCCTATGGCAGTGCCATGATGGATGAAGGCTTACGCCTTGACCGCATCCCTGACTGCAAGAAGAAACAACGAGTTGACCAATGCATGCATGGAGCAGTCAGCGAACTTGGTGATCCTGTTCAGAAGGCAACAGCCCTGATTGGCAACATCAAGTACAACAAGACAGCTTTGAGGTGCAGTGGTCATCAAGGTCAACCACATGCTCATCTACAAGGGCAGACTGGTGGTCACAATCGCACCACTCTTGCTGCAGTGTACCCAAAACAGATGTGCCAACGAATGCGGCAGGACATCATCAAGTACCTCCACAACCGCGACCTCATGCGGGTGAAGACCGAAAACTTCTGTGAGTGCATTCGCTGTACCTTGGGACGCTTTTGCCCAAAAGGAATTGACCACACTATGATTCCTGGACAATGTCGACATGGACGCTATGCAGCTGGGACCAATCCAAAGTTGAAGTCAACGTCATCTGCGGCTGACCCCATCACTGACTGGAAGAAGGCGGCAGACCGCGAAGCTTTGGATGTTGTCCAACTCGACAACGAGCTTGACAAGGAGTTCAACGTCAAGGAGTCCCACTACCTGAAGAAGCTGCTCATTGAGTCAGTGAACAACGCTCTTGGCCTGTTCACAGAAGCCTCCAACCGTAAGATCGACTACACCCACTGGATCGATAACCCTGTGGCGATTGCTTTGTTCAAGGAACTTTTCAAAGAAGTCATGCAGGTGAAAGCCATCAAGGTTTTGCTGCGACCTTTCAGAAAATCCTCAGCTGAACCACACCTTTCTATGGCTTCTGGCTACCTGCGGCTGTTCATCATTGGCGATGTGAAGCACTGGAAAGTTCTGAAGATTGAAGACATGAGAGAGCTCAGCTTCAGCCAGATCAACGAGGCGATAGATGAGGATGACTGGGTTCTGGTCTTGTATGGTGTCGAACTTGATTCAGTACCAGCACCATCGACACCCGCTGCACGATCCAGATCTATCCCAGCTCAGCCTGCACTACCACCTCGACGAGATGATGCAGCACTTGTTCCAGTGGAACCACAACCACAAATCCAAGAACGACCTGATGATGAACGAGAAGAAGAAGCTTTGGCAATTCCAGCATATGAAGAGTTCGAGGCACATGGACGAGCTGCACTAGCTCCAGTCAAGCCCAACTACAACTTGCGGCGAGTTCTTGAACGACTCCCCAAGTTGGTGGATTCTGGTGACGTGACCACAGCCAAGAGACTGTTGGTCGGCCTTCATGAACGACTATGGCACACACCGGCAGGAGACTTTTGCAACCTCCTTCGACGAGCTGGACTTCCTCAACCAGTGATCACCCTTGCAGCTGAAGCAGTTCAAAGCTGCGTGGTGTGCCGGAAGTTTGTCAGATTGCCAAATCGTCCCCAAGTACGAGCTGGAGGTGCAACCATCTTCAACGAGACGGTTCAGTTCGACTTGTTCCACCTGGACGACGTCACATACATGATCCTGCTGGATGAAGCTACTCGCTTCAAGACCTGTTCAGTTCCTGAAGGACAAGATGCACAACAGTTGCTGGCCTCTATGCTTCAGAACTGGATTCAGTTCTTTGGTCCACCTGCCCGACTTGTACTAGACCAACAAGCCTCTCTGATGTCACATGAAGCTGGAGGTGAATTCGAACGGATGAACATCGTTCGATGTCCCAGAGGAACGACTCAAGGACAAGGTGCCGAACAACACACTGGAACTGGCTTGGTTGAACGACATGTTCAACTCACCAAGCTCACCATCATGAAGTTGAAGGCCGAGCTTCAACGCCAAGGTCTGAACCCAGAACCAGCTGAACTTGGAATGGAAAGCGCTATGGCGCACAACCAGACGATCAACTATGGAGGTGCCACACCAAGCATGAGCGTCTTTGGCATCCTTCCACGTGGGTTCTACGACCCTGAAACTCCAGGTCTTCTTTCCACTTTTGGCTCCATGCAGAAGGACGTGACGGTGTTCGAACGCGCTATGCGCATCAGGCAGACCGCCTTGGCCCAGACACATCAAGCGATCATTGAAGATCGTGTCGCAAGAGCCAACCGACATCGTCCTCACCAGCTGGAGACAGACAAGCTCACCGCTGGAGTGTCTGAAGTGGAGTACTACAGAGAAGTTGCAGGAGATCCTGGATGGCGTGGCCCAGCACTTTTACTACGACTTGATCAAGATGAAGGTGTTGCTGTGATCCAGTACCAGGGCAAGCCCTACTTGGTTTCTTTGAGACACATCAGGCCCTACGTTGGCATGTTCCACTTTGAGATGGTCAATGAACCTGTGGAGAACGAGCTCAACAACCTGATGAAGTACGTGGAACACCTCTGCGAGTACAAGGCCTATATCATTGGATGGATCCAGAAGAAGAACGGCACTTGGGCCAAGACTCCAAAGGAGACACCAGCTATCACCAAGGCGATGGAATGGGCAGACAAGATCTCCAAAGCCATGACCAAGAAGGCATTGCATGGCATCATCATGGGACGAGCTCTGAAAACCTTCAAACCTCCCAACAACACGACTGGCAAGTTGGTGACATGGATTCAAGGTGGCAAGAACTACTCCGTACAGGAGCACTTGAACGCGAACCACCTGAGAATGAAGAAAATCTCCAACTACACCAGGGAGGACCTCTGTATCATCTACTTCTACTACTACAACCTGGACATCAAGGAGGAGATCACCTACGACCCAAAGTCCAAGGAGAAGCCTGCGAATGACCAAAAGCCGAATGGCGATGGTTCAGAGGAGATGGACACAGAGAACGTTCCAAAGAAACGAGATGAGCCAGAAGATCCAGGACAAGAATCTGAGAAGAAGAAGCAGAAGGTCGCGATGGTGAAGAAGGACATCAAGAAGGTGGCGATGCTGCAGAAGGACATCGAGTTCCTACGGAGCTTCTACACCATCAACGCCAACACCGAGATCATCCTGGACTTCCCACTGGAATGGAAGATTGGCTACAGCATCATGCTGCCCACGGTCAAGAACTTCCTGACCCAAGAGTACCAACATCGTCAACGACAATGTGGACATCTCTTCACCTTGGCCTACAAGACATCTGGCGATGCAACAGCATGCCTGAGAACCGCTCAGATCTTCAAGGTTGACGAGGAGACCAACAACATCAATGAAGGTGGCATCACACCCGATCTATGGCATTTGGTGGATTCAGCCGATCGAGCTGAAGTCAAGCAGTTTGCGGAGGAGAAAGCATTCAAGAAGATGCACAAGAGCAAGTTCACGGCCGAGATGGTCATCATAGATGCCAGATGGGTTCGGAAGTGGAAAAGATACCCAAATGGCGAGTTGAAGGTGAAATCAAGACTTTGTGCAAGAGGATGCTTCGACTCCCAGAAAGACCTCTTGACGACGAGATCTACCACTGCCACAAGATTGAGCCAACGACTTCTTTTGAGTCATGCTGCACGAAAGCGCAGCCGAAGACTCGAGTCCATCGACATTGCTGGCGCCTTCCTGAAAGGTTTTTCTTTCTCCGACATTCAACGAGCTCTACGTGAAGCTGGAGTTGATGCACCAAGCCGAGTGGTGGTACTTCTACCTCCCTTGAACGTCTTTCGTCACCTGAGTGACCTGAGCCCTGACTTCAAGGGTATGACAGACCTCCAAGCTATGGAGTACGGCTTACTCTGCGTCAAGCCGGTCTATGGGTTGAATGACGCCCCATCGGCATGGCAATTGTGCCTGCACCAGTTTGTCAAGCAACATGGCGGACACCCATCACATCTGGACGACTGCACTTTCTCTTGGAAAGGCCAACGACCAGAAGAACCAGAAGCTGAATCAATTGCCACGACACATGTGGATGACATCGCTCTTTCTGGCGAACAACCATGGCTGGACCATATGCACCAGCTGTTCCTCAAGCGTTTTGGCAAGGTGACCAGACAGACCTTACCATTTGTTCACTGTGGCTGCAAGTATGAGAAAACGCCCACAGGCTACAAGGTCAGCCAACAAGAGTTTGCCAGCAAACTCAGACCTGTTCCAGTACCAGAACGAGAAGACACTTCAAAGCTGACCAAGGAAGAAGTATCAACCTTTCGCTCAATCCTTGGAGCACTTTTGTGGTTGACTGCCACACGCCTTGACATCATTGCAGATGTATCAGTTCTTCAAGCGAAGGTGACAGTGGCTGAGATTCAACACCTCAAGCAAGCCAATGACATCCTGATCAAAGTGGCGGAGTACATCGAGGTTGGACTCCACTACAGGATGATGGAAGCCAAGCACATCAGACTGGTGTGTATTCACGATGCTTCCTCTGCTGCTCAAGGACGAAGCTATGCTCAAGAAGGTTTGCTGATTGGTATCATGGAAGACAAGTTCCACGAGGTCACTCTGGAAGCTGAAACTGAATTTCAAGATGGAGAAGGCGAACATGGAGTGGAGAACCATGGTGGAATCTTCCACATTCTTCATGCTAGCGGTTCCAAGGCGAAAAGAATTTCCTACAGCACTTCACATGCTGAAACCTTGTCTATGGTTGGTGGAATGGAAGCCTCAACTATGATCATGGTTAGACTGGCCGAACTACACCATCCTGCGAAAGCTCCCACGATCAAGCAACTTGTGCAGATTCAAGAAGCTGGCGATCCCAAGATCCCAATGGACTTTTATGGAGACTGCCGAGATCTATTTGAACTCATCACTGGACGACGAACGCTGCCTCAAGACAAATCGCAGCGCTTGTATGTTTTGAGTTTGAAAGAATCAAGAGTTTCTGGAGAACTGCGGATGGCAACTTTGGTGCCTACAGAAGCGATGACGGCTGATTCATTGACCAAGCCGATGGTTCATGATTGCATGCTACTTTTGTTGACAACTGGAATCGTCAGGTTTTTCAACGTGCCTGATCACAAGGTGGTGACAAGAATTCTCCCAGCACTGGAAGAATACACAGAGCACGACCTTCACAAGTCCGATGAGGAGCTGATGGACGACGTTGCCAAGGGCATCAAGCAGCCGAAGATCAGTCATGGAGCTGTTTTGCTGAGTTTGTTTTCACGAAGCATTTTACCAATGCTGGTGGCAACGTGTGCGAGTGGTGCAACGGCTCAAGAGTTTGACGAGACCTATGTCCCTGACTCCAATGCAGTTGCGAAGAACAACAGCATCCCGAACTATGCCAACTACTTCGGGATCTACATCTCTATCTTCCTCACCGTGATCCTCGCCGTGAACATGGACAAGATTCTGAAGTACGTGACCTACAAGGTGACGAAGAAATTCCACAGGCCTTTGCAGGCCGTGAAGGAGGAAGACACGACAGAAGCGATGGATGTGGACGAAGAAGGCGATCCCGACATGATGGCGAATCGCATTGCTGCACTCAAGCGGAAGGTCATGGATGTGAACGCAGCAAATCGTGCTGCCAAGAAGAAGATCCAAGATCAACAAGGAGAACTGGATGAACTCAGAGATGGCCTACGCGAAGCCAAGACGGAGATCACATCATGGATAGACTGCGCCGACAACTACAGCGCCAAGACCAACATGTGCCTGGCGGATTCGGCGAGCTACAAGAGAGATCTCCAAGAACTCAGAACCGAGCACGAGGAGCTGAAAGACAGGTACGACCAGGCTCAGAACGACATCAACACCTTGGAAGAGCAGGTGAGACGTCAACGTGAAAGAGGAGATCAGCTTTGTGACAAGGTGGATGATATACAAGGTGCGCTGCAGCACTCCAAGAATGCCAACGCGATGGCTGCACGAGCCAATGCCAGCAAGGACGCGAAGATTGCCGAGCTGACAGCTGCGCTGCAAAATGCGAAGCAACAGGCTCAAGCAGTCAGACCAAGCCGTGCTGCCGACCAGAACGAGGTGGCCGAGCTCACGCAGAAGGTCAACGACCTGACCAAGAAGAATGAGGACTTGGACAGGGAGAAGAACGTCCTGAAGGCGACCTGCGAGCAGCGCGCCCGTGAGATCCTCGGCCTAAGAGAGGCCAATAGGGAGGCAAAAGCCCCTCCGACTGTGCATATCACGCGAGGTGGGTCATGCTACCATAGCGACGGGTGCAACCACCTAAGCCATGCAGGCCAGCCAAGAGCAGTCATTGAGTTGCGCAAATGCCGTGACTGCTGGCCATAAAATGCAGAGCAGGAGGGCACCGGTGTGAAGTTTTGCATGGCCCCTGCACAGGATGACACGCACATAGGACAGAAGTGTAACCAACTGACATGCCCCGCAGAGCGCTCTTGAGTGGATCAAAATCGAGTTAGAGTATGAAAACCATATATACTTCAAGTGAATTTGTTTAGGACACTTCTGTTGGGAACTTCTGTTGGGAAAGGTTTATCTGCGCAGCAGTTTGTTTAGGAAACTCCTGTTGGGAAAGGTTTTATTTTTGCAGAAGTGTGTTCAGGAAACTTGTGCTGGGAACCTGTCGGGAAAATATGTGTTTTTTTGTTGGCAATTTCTCTTAGGGTTTTGTTGGGCCAACAGAAGTCTGTATATATTTTGTTCTGCTCCCTTCTGTAAATCATTTCCTGTTGGTGCATGGTTTGTTTCTAGATATGCAGTATTGTGTTTTCTGCAATGCTTCTTTGTCCATCTGCTTCATGAATATAGTTTGGGAAAAGAAACCACACAATTCACTGCATGTTTTACATCTTCTGTTTTTGACCGGTAAAATATTGCCTTGGAAAAGGCGCCCCATCGGTTCTGCTGCCACGGCCATGGTTTCTACTGTGCACAGATGTAGGCATCTCGAATTAAACCTGCTCACCGTTCAGAAAAACGACATGTGTTTCAGACAAGCCAGGAGTCAACTCAAACTGAATTGGCTTAAAAACAAAAAACAAACCAACAAAAAATCTGTATACATAAGAATAGAAAAATACCTTTTCCAAGGTTGAAAACAAAAAGTAGTAACTCATAAACTTGTGAAAGGATGGGGTCAATTTGTTCCATGGTTTTCATCAAGTTTGATCAAATTTGATCAAGTTTGATCAAATTTGTTCAAACAAATAAAATGCAGCCAAACAATTTGTAAAAACAACAAACATCAATGGCTGAAAAGCATGCGAAAGTTGAATATTTATTCATGTATCATTCAAAAAAAAGACTTAATTATGTTCAAACAAATTAGTTTTAAATGATTGACGGTAAATTGCAGTTGAAATCTTTTGTATAAATATATATATATATTTACATAACTTAAATATGTACGGCCAATATTTGTATATATATATATATATGTATCAATTCAGTTCAACAACGCGCATATGATCAATGCACTGCACACAGCTGCTGCAGTAGTTTTCCATCCTTGCAAGACGTGGGTGAGTCAGGATGGATATCGGATGGGAGATCCTCCCAAATGAAAAAGATTGATCAATCAGATCAGCCTGTTGGATCACACAGTGGCTGAATAAAAATCATCTCGAGCAAAACAATCCATCCATCCATGAAACTGAAATAAAAGACCCTTCCAAAACAATCAGATCAGCCTGTGAGAGTACAATCGAACTGAGTGACGATCCACTCACGTGATCGAATCATCCGAAATGAAAAGACATCCAGTCTGCAAAATCAATTGATAAATAAATACTGAAAATGTCACACACATGTAGCAGGACGATCGATCCTGTGACAGAGAAAACTGACATCACGACAGCAGCAATCAAGGTGCTGAAGAAATAAGGGGTTTTTGAGAGGAATGGGACAACAAAAGATCAGGGAAAGAGGGGATCAGATCTTGACCCAAAATGGCGTACGATCGTACACTTCACAAAATAAGAAATGATCACTGTCGTCCCACCCTCGATCGAGGGAAATCAAAAATAAATAAAATCAACTGAGAGAGACTGAACAGCATCTGGTGCCATGAACTCCAAATTGACCCACTTCTTCCTAGCCTACCAGACCGTTAATAAGTGATCCAATTCAGTTCAACAACGCGCATATGATCAATGCACTGCACACAGCTGCTGCAGTAGTTTTCCATCCTTGCAAGACGTGGGTAAGTCAGGATGGATATCGGATGGGAGATCCTCCCAAATGAAAAAGATTGATCAATCAGATCAGCTTGTTGGATCACACAGTGGCTGCATAAAAATCATCTCGAGCAAAACAATCCATCCATCCATGAAACTGAAATAAAAGACCCACGCTGCTACCACTTAGGGAACACTGGCCCGATCGACTTCCAACCTGGTTTTTCACCCACTTCCATCTGAGCGCGACGAAAGTCACAAAAGGCCGAAGGAAAAAATGTATAAATACCTGTCTGTATGTATGTATGTTGGTGGGTGGGTTGGGTTGGGTTGGGGGTTGGGTTGGGGTTGGGTTGGGTTGGGTTGGGTTTGGGTTGGGTTGGGTTGGGTTGGGTTGGTTGGGTTGGGTTGGGTTGGGTTGGGTTGGGTTGGGTTGGGTTGGTTGGGTTGGGTTGGTTGGGTTGGGTTGGTTGGTTGGGTTGGGTTGGTTGGGTTGGGTTTGGGTGGTTTGGTTGTTATTGTTTGTATGTTGTATGTATGTATGTATGTGGATGATATGTATGTATGTATGTATCTATGTATCTGTAATCTATGTATGCTATGTATCCTATGTATCTATGTATGCTATGTATGTTGTATGTGTATGTATGTATGTATGTATGTATGTATGTATGTATGTATGTATGTATGTATGTATGTATGTATGTATGTGTGTATGTATGTGTGTGTGTATGTATGTGTGTGTGTGTATGTATGTGTGTGTGTATGTATGTGTGTGTATGTATGGTGTATGTCTGTGTGTATGTGTATATGTATGTATGTGTGTGCGTCTGTATGTATGTGTGCGTCTGTATGTATGCATGCATGCGTGCATGCATGCATGTATGTATGCATGCATGCGTGCATGCATGCATGTATGTATGTGCATGCATGCATGTATGTATGTATGTATGTATGTTAGTTATGTCTGTATGTATGTATGTATGTATGTATGTATGTATTTATGTATGTATGTATGTATGTATGCATGCATGCAATATAATGTAATGTAACGTAACGTACTGTAATGTAATGGAATGGTTTGGCAGGTTATGGTATGGTATGGTATGTACAATGGAGCAAAATGATTTTTTAAAACCACCGGCTGGAAGTATCTCCAAGTCACACCTCGCCTCTATCGGACAGGTAGTGATTGATTCGAACTGGCGAGCAAAGGCGGAGCTGCGGGCGCTACCGGGACACGGGAACTACGTGTGCTGCTGTTCTTTCACAGTTATGTCAGTTAAGTTATGTCATGTCGTTGAATTTTGTTTCAAGTTTGCCTTGGTCAGACTTGGACTTGGCAAGGTCACTGATTTTGGCTTGGCAAAGAAGCTCTACACTGCCAGCCACTTTTCTCAATTGCTCGGAATGCTCGTTTACTCCGAATCCTGCGCAAAGGAGAGAAATGGAAGTTGTACTCATTTGAGATCATGTGCGAACTGGGTCCGGGCTGCGCACAGATATCACATGCAGATCATCATTCCCAACACTGGAGCTGCTATCCAAAAAAATTTGGCACCAGGTTCCCGCAGGCTTCCGTTAGGGCTCCAAGCAGGGTTCATGATAAACATCCAAGTTGGTTTTCAGGCTTTGGTTTCGACGCCTGGCTTCCGTCAGGTTCCAGTAGTGTTCGAGCAGGGTTCCAAAAAGGTTTCCCAGCTGAATTCCGAGCCAGTTCCAATCAGGTTTTGGTTTCAGCATACTTTGAAGGTTCCGGCAGATTCCGGCAGAGCGTCAAGAAAGGTTTCATCACGTTCTCATCAGGTTTTCACAGCGCTCCCCCAAGTTCTCATCAGGCACCCGTCAAATTATTATCATATTCCAGCAGGGTTGTAACATGTTGTAGCAGTCAGGTTCCAGCGGCGGTTCTCAGGGTTCCAGCCGCTCACCCAAGAAGGTTCCAGCTGATTCGCTTCCCAAAATAAGGTGTCAAAAAGGGTGTCATCAGATTGGAAATTGGAAGCGCTATTTTGGCATTCCGGCATGGTTGCTCGCAGTACAGTGCTGGGGGGTCATCATCATCATCATCATCATCATCAGGCTCTGGACGCATTTGGAACAGGTTTTCGGCTTGGTTTGAAGAAAGATTCAACAAGTCATGATCATGATTCCAGACTATTCCAGCAAAACAGACACAAAGGTAGAAGGCTTCATGAAAGCTTGCGGCAAGCTTTCAACGACTTCGGTCGCGGAGACTGTTGGGTTTCTATCTCTGGAAAGAGGTGTTGGCAGCGCAACAGTCATCTCCGAGCCATCTCCCCGGATGGCGCCGCGATTCGCGGGTGATTCTTTGAATTTCTGTTCCGCAATGGTTAAGGAATGTCACAAGATGTCACAAGGCTTTCATGGTGTCCTGGGTTGTTTTTGGCATGGCATGCGGCTGATACGGCGCCCTTGGAAGGGTTGTCAATTTTGAGATGTGCCATTTATGATCCCTTGGAAAGGTTGCAAATTTTAAAAATGAGGCTTTCCGAAATGGGGGTATAGGATTTTATTTTTTGGCGTCTTTAACATGTTGCACATGCTGTCGTAGGATCATCAGGGGGGTGGGGGTGGGGGTGGAGGGGTGTATTAACGTCCCTGACGAGCACTTCTCTTATGTTACGGAACATGCACACGTTGCACATGCTGTCGTAGGATCATCAGGGGGTGGGGTTGGGGAGGGGTGTATTAACGTTCTTGACTAGCATGAAAATACCACCTGTAGCAGCACACCATGTCCCCCTGTCAAATCTGGGTGGATAAATCAGATATATGTATATAGTATAGATATTTAAATTATGCTTATGTAACTTATGTTTTTTAATGTATTTATCTATAAATGGAAGTTTGAAGGTCTAACTTCCACGTTACGGATCTTAGAACGTCACAGAACAGAGATGTCAGAGCAAAGAGATGCCAGCGCAAAGGGATGTCAAAGCAAAGGGATGTCAAAGCAAAAGGATTTCAAAAAGGGATGTCAAAGCAAAGGGATGTCAAAGCAAAGGGATGTCAAAGCAAAGGGATGCCAAAGCAAAGGGATGTTAAAGCAAAGGGATGCCGGAGCAAAGAGATGTCAGAGCAAAGGGATGTCAGAGCAAAGGAATGTCAGAGCAAAAGGATGTCAGAGCA